GGGCAGCTGCCCCCAAAAAGATTACAAAGTCGAAAAGTCGGGCAAATGTTCAACAAAAGTCGGACAAAAGTCGGGAAAAAAGTAGTCAAAGCAATAAAATCTCTCGTAATAATAACCCCAGTTTGTTGGGCAAACCAAGCCAGTTGAGCAATATTCGCTTCACAGTCGGGCAATATTGGGTTATTATAAAAATAAATGGGATAAATTCTGCCAATTTTGCGGGAAATTATGTAAATTTTGTGATGATTGGGAAAATTTGTTTGATGTTCCGAAAAATTTTGGTATGTCCGAAAAATTTTTGGACCCTTAAAACGGTACACTGACCGAAATTTTTTGGCGACGGGGAGGGGGGGGGGGAGGTCGCCAAAAATTTATTGTTCCGGAAAAAAAATTTTGTCACTGGTCGGGCACAATTCGAAAAAGTCGGGCAAATTTCTTTCTGCCCCCCTAATTTTTTCCTTCCCGTACGCCTATGCTCTAAATAGTGTTTTGAATTCTCTTTCCAACAAGACTAATACAAAGAGGATGCGTCCAAAGGACTCGAAGTTATTTTCGCCGAAAGGTATGCCTAGTTTATATTTATCAAGTGTAAATATTGCGTGATTTGTAATATACAAAATCCCGCTTGACTTTCAAAGGCCATAAATCGCTATAGTGTTGACATTTCACTAAAACTATCAATAGAAATTAGGAGATATTTTTGTACTTAATCGAACGCTGGTATTTTCATCTACACAGCATATATTGAACCAAAGATACGAACCTCCAAATAACCAGGTCGAAACCGACTTAAGGTCACGTTTGTTTATAAATATTGCTGACGTTGAAATAGTTTAATTGTATTTTCAGTCTTGATAATAAATTTAATAATGGTTCTGTATGCTATAGATACTCATTTTTTTCTTTTATGCAGTTTTGGACACATTTCTAAAAATACAAATGTCAAATATAAATTTAAATACAAGTTTCTTCGCTTGCAACCAAAACCTGTTCGCTAAATACGTTGTTTCCATGCATTGTTTTATACTGTAGATGGAGATGTTGTCTAGAAAAATAGCAGATGTTTTCTCGCAAAATGGACATAACACTTTCTTATTTCGTAGAGGTAGTGAATAATCTCTTTGTCAGCTTGTTGCAGTATTGTAAAGAGATATTTTCTCAGTCATTTTGACTTGCATTTTGAGTTTGATAATTACACGCCACCCCCAACCCCCCCGGTTTACCGCCAAATTGGGCGTGGCATCGTGCAGAGGCTTCGCGCCTTCATAGCCAATAGGGACCTTTAGCAAATAGGTGACGGCAACGCGACGACGACGGCCAAAACAAACTCGTTCAAATAAGTAACTTTAAGATCAACATGTCTTGTACTATCCGTTGTATGAATGTTAAGACATTTAGAAGGTTAAGACAGAGGTTTATAGTTGAGAAGACTTCTACTAAGCCAATTTGGCGAGGACGACTTCTCGCTGCTTGAAAGGCAGACGTTGTATACAAAACGTGAAAATCCGCTTTGTTTTGCTGTTGTAAACAGAGCAAGGACGACGTCTAAAACTCCCAAGGGACTTTTTCGTTTTTGCATTTTCTTTCTACACTGTCAGAAATTTCATTGTGTTAATAGCCGTCGCCGTCCTGCTAGCTAAAGGTCCCTAATTAAGCCTCTGCGGAGGAGAGAGGCACCGTATTTGTCGTATGGTATCGTACAATATCGCATTTT